CGACGTTAGACACAGTAAGGCATGTATACTTGCACGACAATTTCGTCATCATAAGCTGGTCGTTGATTCTGGGAATCTCATGCGGTCGCGTCATAATGCTTATCTCAAATTATTTAGTTAGCCCTATCATATGCAATCGCTACACAGCAACACAACAATTACGCACAATACACGAGAGTTGTGTGCTATCAAGCGTACCAGTGCCGTAGTGAGGTCAGCGCGGTGATGCTTCTTAGCACGCAACATGTAACACGGTATATATATAGCGCCAGTGATGTTGTGCAATCTTGTGTGACGACTAATTGGCGTTATTTGTAAAAATTGTTATAGAACACGTATTGACAGGTAAGGAAGTCACAAATTCTGTAAGCGTAGATACGACATATCGGATAAAAAGCCATACAAGTAGAGGGAGAAGGTTCGATGTATATTCGGGTACGCGAACGACCCACTATATCCGGCTTCATTAGCCACTCTTTGGCGGTGTGCAATCGTACCGTCCATGCGCGGGTATGGATCCACGTACCTCCAGGTCCCAGTTCCAGGGAAGAACCACTCGACCACCGGGGTTGGTCCTCTACAAAAGTAGAACAAACTTGTTCTATCTGGATGAAGCACTTATTTAGCCCTCCGGCATAGCCTCGTGGACCTTTATATGTGAAGTTGGGCACATTGCAATCGTGTGGGGCCAACGTCAACGCTTATTTTTACAGCGACAAATGCACCCTGACGTTATCGATTGAGGTATGCTCTGACTTTCAGATGGACACGCAAGATGCTACTAGCAGGCTCATGTTATCTTGCCTACTTTTGTGATTGAATGAGCCCATGTGCTAAGTACGTTCCACAGCACCAGCGTTACTTCAAGATGCCGACCCAAGTTGCAGTCAGGCGATTGGACTGCTTGATTCGAAATGACGACATAACAACCGCAAGATAAAAATGGGCGCACTTCCTGACTATGCGCAAAGTGTGGCAAACGCGCACATTTATGTGCCAACAAGGTCATGCTAGCTGTCAGAATAGACACGTAAAGCAATACACATGATACGTCCGTGCTCGTAGTCTGATCGTGAATCGCACAAGTGAACGTAAATTGTTTCTTACTGCCACACATCACATGGAACTTGACGCTGCGACAGTTTCTAATTTATTAAGAGACTTATATTGAGCATGCACGATGCTTTTATCGTTGTACAATGTCAAGGTTGAGCGTATCTGCTTCGGACGTCGTTGCTTATGAGTCAGCGAATATGCCTCCGAATTTGCGTCAAACAGTGAAAATGGTGGACACTAAGCAGAATGCCGGGGCCATTGTGGCCAGCTTTACAGGTGCGAGAGTATCTGGGATCTGACTTTTGAAGTTTGATACAACATTTATAAGCTATAATTTTAATATTTCCTACTGATTACTCGATTACAAATAGATATGTATCTCTTAGTCCGATTTCGAATCAGATGAATCAATTAGAATGGAGGTTGGACGTTTCTACTATATATTCTGAATACAGTAGCGATTTGAAGCAGTGGAGTCTGGGCTCGCGCATCGATGTAGAACGCTGCAATATAATTAAGAAATCTAAGAAAAACTAGCTATCAGAATTATATAGTGCAGCATTCAAATTTAAATACATGTTATCATACATATATATAAGTAAAAAGCATTGATCTGATTTTTCGTACCTATACAGGGTGAGAAGAAATTGTGATGATGACGAAAATTGTCGGCCCCAACTCGACTTCCCTATCATCTCTCTAACGCCATTGCACGAAATCTGACGAGCTTCTTTTCTGTCCCTGATTCTTCGCGCCTGCGCAATGCGGTCTCAGCACGGACACAGGTTGCGTAAATCAGAAGTGCATAGTTGTCGAGGAACAGGGCAATATCACATTTGCGTCGACGCCACTGAGTTTAAGTTTGTATAATCTGCATCATGCATTTCATCACATTGTTCGGTTCTACAAGTTTCTTATCGAGTGCCGGTCGAGCCTGTCATCTAGCGGGACTCGCTCACGTTGTAACATTCATGTACTCGCTACCTTTGCTTTGTGGCTCACTAACGCTGCGCCATGTAATGCAACATCGAGATGCTGATTTGCGGCCTTACTGACCGATATTTTTTTTGTTCATTGCACTCATCATCCAATTTACTTCTGATGCTAGTCTTCATCAAATTTTCCGTCATACTCGTCCTGGTATCTCAGGCCAGCAAACGTTATTTGGCTCGAATAATTACACTAATTCTACAAACAATGCGCTTTTATTGTGATACAAGAGAAGCGGTGGCATGTACGAATAATGCCGAGCCAAACGGAATCTATACTAAAAACGCACAGCTATTCTTCACTCAACTGACGAATGTAAGCTACTTTGTCGTGATCGTGCATAATGTAAGGCCGCAACAGCGAATATGAATTGGTGATCGAGATGGACACGCTTTGTTAGCACGTGACCCACGAGGGTGCACAGAACGCAGTCGCAACTGCCGCTGCACCAACTTCTCTCTCTACCTACTACTTCCCTATGTTTTCACATGCCCATGTTCACTGACTGAGTTGAGACTGTCACACGCACCTTGCAATACTTTATCAGCTCATGCTGCGTGCGTTTGAGCTCACGCAAGACACCCAGCCATTTTGCGGCTCGTGGTTTCACCAGGTGCGGGGATACAATAGGATGTGTCTTGTACTAACACCACGTTGATTCTGTTGTGCGTCAAAAGATGACGCAATATCTGGGGAGGTGTGGGAGCAACGCCCGTCAGTCTTATTGCTGACCTGCTTCCTCCGGTTTGTGTGAATCAGCTCTTTGTCTTGCAACAGCATTATCTTTGTCTAGAAATCCATATCGGAAATTATGGGATTACACTTAGACCGATTTGTCAGCTGGCTGATTTCATGGACAAGTCCCCTGTGCATGTGGTGGAGGTTTGCACGATGATCATTTTCGCCCACAGAACCCAGCACGCAGTTCTTGCTGTTTATCTGAAGCCTATCTACTGGATGCTGAAGATAGGCATCTCCGTTGTTCTTCGTTATGTGGTCTCATCACTTACGAGCGCACAACAAAATAGCGGACTGCTTCGCGAATACAGCGATGGGCATCGAACGAAGCTCGCAGGGTCGACCAAATGGGACAGATTGGCCAGACAAGCGACAATAAAGAGTTCGGGATCTGTTCTGTAGCGGCGTCTCACGCTGGATGTTGTGACGTGACACCGCACAATCGCTGAAGGGTGCCGGCGCCGAACTTAAGGAGACGGTACAGTTCAACGTGTAAAGCAAAGCCGTACGACGAGGCACATTGAGATACCGACGGATACGAGGCCACCGGTACTGTACAATGGGCATGTAGAGCCGGTAGCCAAGATAGTGCTGAATGTCATCAGCGCACAGCAAAAGCCGAACCAAAAATGAATGCAGATTTGTTTCATTTGCTGTTGTATCGGTAGACGCAGTGGTGTCACCATTGTACATGCGCTCTGCATGTTTAGTCAGTATATCCGAGAGTAGTTCTTCTGCTGTCCCTACTACAGTCCGGATGCAGAAGATCACATTGCGCTGTTCATCGTAGCTGACTATTGTGAGAAGATTAAACCAGTGTCGGATGTTTCGAGCAGTTGTGCTTCCCGCGTGTACGGGTTTGCTTTCATAGCAAACAAGCATTCTATGTTGACGCAGCCATGTCGAACATTAACGCTGCTGAGCTGCGCGCACACGTCTACCGTTATACCTACTTTGCATCAAAGTAACACTACGCCGGCTCCCTCCGAGTGGCTTGAGTGCGGTGTGGATCCATTCACTTGGCTATAAGTCGCGGTGAACGACTTGTAACCTCGCGCTGGACATGTTGCGCCAGCTCTATAGAATGTGCGTCTAATGTGGAGAGGCGACAACTTATTCCGTCACACTTAGGCCAGCGTATTATTACGGTTGTGCAGAGCTTGGCCAGGTGTGCGAGCTCTCGTCCACTCTGGAATGCTTGCTCTAATAGTGCGAGCAGGGACGAACGGAATGGTGCTCGTCCATGTAGCCGGAGACTATGATTGTGTGCTTAGCTTGCGCCGGACTTACGAACGTTGGTAGACAGACGAGAAGCTTACCTCATTTGCTTATGCTTCTCTATAAGTTGGATATTCACAACCACGATAAACTAGCAGTAGTTGAAGCGCAGGTCATGCATACAAATCGGCGGGGCATGCCACGACATCTTGCGGAAGTCTTGGAGAGGGTAAATAAGGTGCTGCAATTGATTGTGTCGATTGTGCTCTTGTATCTGGTAGGTAGCAATCCCAGGGCAATCAGCAATCGGTAATACAGAGCTATCTTAACACAGCCATCACTGACCACCGGCTTGACCAAACTGCAAATGCTTCAATTCAAAGCATGTTCCAACCTTAACTCAAACGACGCTATGCACCCAAACGCGCTTACAGTACGTTCATTCAGGGCCTTTATTAGACACGCCTTATTGAGAAGCTCTTCTGGTGTTCGTAAATGACCATAAGCTATTCGATGACATTCATCGAAAATAGCCTGCACACCATCTGCTACTACCGAGGCAACCAAAATTTAAACCGAAAGGCTGACTCGACTCGCTTTTAATACACCCACCCACCTCTCTTTTGTTCCTGCACCATATCGACATTCCCGGATTCCCTTTGTTCGTCCCTTAATTATTGCGTCTATACCCACAAACCAGGTCCGTCTCCCGCAGCAGGTCATACCGTTCAGATTCGCCACACCCCGTCTCGTCTGTCCACCCCTGTGCTCTTTCCTCCTCAATCGATCGATCGCTTTACGCCAAGGTCATCGAGTCGCCAGCGACGATTCATTGAGTCCGGAAGGTGACGGTGCGAGTTAACCAGATGCTCTAAGTAATCAACCGCACCGTCGAGTTGCTCCAGACCCCTTCAAAAGAGGACCATCGAGTCGGTGCGCTCACCTACTACGGTACATCGTCGATCCCAATCCGATTGCGCCGCTGCGTCAAAGATGCACTAAGTAAAACTCAGCAACTCGCGCAGCAGCTGCTCATCCTCTTTCTTTACAAAACGACCCTTCACTCGCAGTCGCGAGTCGGCAAAGTTTTTGCGCACATCATATTTGACCTCTTTCCGCCACACGCGCTTTTGCCGCTTGTCAAGGAATTTTTCAATTCGTTTCCGTCTAGAATCGGGCGAATAAGCGCCAACGAAGTTGTGCTTTTGACCGTCTTTGCTTTTCGCGGGATCAATGCCACCAAACGTTCGAGCGATTCCGGATCCAGCAGCTCCTGGAATTCCAATTGGACGAGATGTGGACGCACATGATGCGACTGCGGCCGACGACGCTGCCGACGAGCCAGTTGTAGTACTAGCACCAGATGTAGCCACGGTGGGCTTGCCGCCAGGAACAGTGCTTCTGCCTTCCACTTTCACTCCCGGCTCGGATTTCACCTTTTTGTCCAAAAAGTCTTCGGCAAAACTAAAACCTGCAGGCGGAGTGATGCCCAGACCCATGGACGGCAACGAGTTGGGCAAAGAAGCACCAAGCGATGAACTATAGAACTCTCCGTCCAAAATATCACGCGCTGACACATCGGCAAAAGACGAGTCAAACCCGAGTTCGTCCCATTCGTCTAGTGACTGATTTCTTGCCCCCGATGGAAACTCCAAAGTTCACAGGCACACACGAAGGAACACACACACAAGCAAGGTTAATAAACGATCGTCATAACATGGGCTCAACTCTCGGATAGATGGGATAGACAATAGACAAAACAGCAGACGTCGCAGTAGCAACAGACAAACATGCCAACCTCGTCTTTAGGGGTGTCACCCAACGAGCCAACATTTAAAAACCCAAGATCAAGATCATCCAATAAATCAATCGACGAGGATTTCCGGTTCAGTGCGCCACTGTCCAACATGGCTTCCAGTGTCGTTGGATCGCCCGCATCGAATTTTTCCAACGCTTTCTGCAGTGCTTCGTCTCCGCTGATGATAAGATCCTATATTCAGCAAAAGAAACCAACACAAACACACTGCATAAGTACATCGAAGTAAAACAGCACCGTCGACAAAACGAGGACACTAGTGTACCATTGCTACCTTTAGTACACCCTTTTGGTATCGGTCAATGTAGCCACGCTCTTCCAACTCGGTTGCACTCAAGAGACGACTCGAAACGCTCCCACTACGCCCTCGTTTCGTCATTGGCATGGTCAAACTACCCGGCGAAAAGGCTGGGGGCGTGTGAGAGATCATGCCCAGGAAATCGTCGGCGCCCCAGCCAATCGAATCTTTGCGCGGAACAGTGGCGGCATTACTACTGCTGATGCTGTTGTTGTTGTTGTTGTTGTTGTTTCCACTGAGAGCTGCTGCGGGGACGCAAGTGGCGGGCAATGGCGTTTCTTCCTTTAGTTCCTTTTTAATTGCCACGGGCAACGTCGGCGGCAATTGAGACGTCGACGAGCTCATGGTCACTGCAAACACGTGCCAAAGACAGTGACTACAATGACACCCGACCAGTAGCCCGCGTGAAGTGGATAACACCCGTTGTAGAAACGTACGTGAGAATCGTTGGGGCGTTCTGCTCGTTGACGGACTCCCAGCGGCGTTCCGTCCGACTCAGTGTGTCCGCAGCGACAGCCGAGTGAGCGCTCACCAACACCTCTCGAACTAAATCCACTCACCGGTCGAGCGGTTCACTCAGCGCAGCGCAACCACACGGCAAAGTCGGTCGGTGTGCACCTCTTGGCCGCACCACAGGGGGACAGCGACTGACACGCGCGCACACACACACACAGACAGACACACGGACAGACAGACGCAGCAGAGGCACTCGCAGCAACTCGAGCGCTACACGCCAAAACGCAGTCTCGCTTTGCTCTCCGTCGCCGTCACCCCACTTGGCTCCCCCTGTCGCGCGGGACTTGTCAGGTGGCATATTGTCCCTGCGACAGTTTATATTCAGCGACAGAGACCGGCCACCCCACGGGGTCCGCTAGGGCAGAGATCGGTCCTACAGCGTGCGACAAGTTCCTTCAGTTTGTCGACTTCGCACGGACGTGTGCAGAAACGAGGCAGCACACCGGTGAAAAACCTGGTCCTACCTCTGCAGCTCCTGCGTTGCCCCACGCCTCCATCCGACTTTTCGACGACAGGGGCTTTCTTGAGGTGTTGTAGCAAGCGAAGGCCCTGCGGAGGCTGTGATAGACGTAACGGTTGCGGTGGCAGAGCTGCACGGATCGCACGGCTTCCGATAGCGTGCGCAGCTCTGGTAGAGACAGCCACGAGGAGGAACGCAGTGGCTTTAGCGCTTCAGATCGATGATGTGTTTCACCATATTTTGCATGCTATGGGCACGAGCGAAAGGCGTTGAGCTCCAGACTTTGTCACGAGAGACGCAGCCCCAAAAAAACAACCAGTTCTTTCTGCGCCAGCTGGGAATCGGGCACATTACGAACGCAGAATGCCCATCAGACAGGACGGTGCCGTGCTGCGTGATATGGCTACACGAGAACCACTGCTCTTGCGATCAGCTTGATGCTGTTCTCTATCTCCTCGACTGCTTCGATGACGCAATCGTCCATTATAGAAGCCATTGCATCGGTGCCACTTAAGCAAAAAGGGTAGCAGAATGGCGACACGGACAGCAGCATCGTGTCCACCGATCACAAAAGCGCGATGACGTGGCAACGTGAAGACGTTTTCGGTCCGATGGCAGTGCGTTTTCGCTGCTTGCCGCTACAGTGGGTGATGGGTAGGAGATGGTGTCGCCTATAGCCTGTATGCAGGAAAGATGGCGAGTTAGGCACAGTTTCGGATCGAGTGTCAGGCACGGCACGAACTCGATCTCTGTCAGAGACCGGCAGGTCCCGGGCCAATTTATTCGGTACAGCATCCATTCGTTTCCTCACAAGTCGGCGCAGAGTCTGGCCCATTGCTGATATGAGGGTACAGTCTGACTCCCCTGGAGTCGCTCAGCGTGATTGTACCACGCGTACGGACCCTATATCAACAGGTGACGACAACGACCGCTGCAGCGTTGTTCGACGCTTTCCGTCGGTGAACCACTGTTGAACAGTATCATACCAGTAACATGCTACACACGGAAACAAGAAAGTGTTTTTGTTGTCACGTTGAACGGTCCGTTAAAGCAAAACGCGTCGTTTGTACACATGTCTTGTCGACACAAAGGTGCAAGCAGTGAACGACGTAGCAGTAGGTAGATGTCCAGATTCCACGCACATGTGGACAGAATGTTATGGCAGTGGCTGGCACAAAGCAGTCTGCGTGACCGGGAACGCAAAAGTAAGCAGGGGCACCATCGATCCTACAATCGGTGGTGCTTTACGCATCGCAAACAGTTACGCTTGCGATGCTCATCGACAACTATGATGCTAGTAGCAGAATAGCAGCTTACCACGACAATATCACGAGCGAAAGGTACAAATGCACACTCTCGGTCAGCGATGGACATGCGCGTATTGGCGAACCTGAGAGAGATGGAGCTTTCCCAGAATGCGTGACAGATTTTTATCAACACACATATCAGCATGTGGTGGCAAAGCTGCGCTTTCATCCGGCGCTATAAGGTTGCTGCTTTGATATAGCCACATCGACCACTCTTACGAATCAGCGCGTTCGTGGCAAAAGAACTAACAAAAGCGTACTAGAGATTTACGATTGTTGCGTGCGCGCTCGATTCTCACGATCTCTCGCTCCTGGGTGTTTGTTTTGACTCGAGTCCTGCGAGCACGCTCGTGGAGCAAACGCATGTACAAAGTCTTTGACTCACGCTCTTTTCACGCGAGACGGTACGACAGCGCGATTCATCGTGATCGGCGAAGATGACCAGCTGTAGTTTGGACAATTATTGGGATGTCCGCAGTCAGCAAGAACATGCTACGAGCTATGGTCAGAGACCGACTGCTGGTTCGTGTATCGGAATTTGCAGCTGAAGCAGTAAGTACAATTATGTTACAGTGACCCAAGTCTGGCTGCGGCTTCCAGCAGACGAGTGGCTTATCATCTTCAGAGTGTTTGTTACAGTTGCCTGGTGTGCTAGGATGCAACGAAACGCACTCGTCGTAAGTGAACGCGTTTTACTCCGTTGTGATGAGTGCCCGGAACAAAGGCAAAGTAGACCAAAACACGAGCATGATCTGGACGTAGCCGTGGACTTGATTAGATGCTTAACTAGATTGAAGCACAATCAGCATCGAGTCTATTTCATGAAACCTATGAACACATCCAGATTATCTGATCTCTGCACTTATCATGTAAAAACACCTTATGGCAGGATAAGCTGATATTGGGAAGCGCTGCGACAACCCATCCACGTCTTAATTGCTCGTATCGGTGGTGTAAAGTTGCCACCTTTTCTGAAATGCTGGATTCAAACTGCCTCAACTATCGAGCCAGAGTCGAAAAATGCACCTACGTCCCATTTCGAGGCATTGAAGGTGAAAATTGCGCTGCACAGCTAACGCGTTATACGAATGGATACAGCCGCTTCCTAAACGCTACACGCCTAGTTCGTAGGACTACACACATGTGGGTCATACGAGAAGCGGAACTATGGACACTTCTTTTTACATTGGATGAGGTTGACAAAGTGGTCAGGCGAGTGATTGTCTCGAGCTTCAACATGTTGTTGATACAAAAGGCTGCGATCCAATATGATATCAACTTCTGTCAGTTTGATATCTTGGATAGGGTTATCAGCTGTTTACAACGAACTGAACTGGATGGCAACAGTACAGCAAGACATCGACTGCAGCTTCATTCTGCATGTGTCTGGAGTGCGTACGATATCTAAGGAGCAAAGACGTTCCTCGTCCGTCTTGCGAGCTTCACAAGGTGAAGTCGATCGGCGGTGTCTTTTAACACGCATCCACGTTCTGTGACATAAAGGAACAACAATCGACACTACTGAGACCGTCAGGGTACAGCGGCGATTGTTTGAAATAACAGTGAAGTCAATCTTGCGCGTGTGTGTAGTCGCACTAGGCGCTGTACGGCCTTGACTCGTATCGCTTTCCGAAATGCGTCCGTCACTTCGGCATCCATCTTGATCTTGGGGAAAAAGGACAAGCAAAAGCGATTTGACGAGGAAGAGGAGCGATTGCAAGTCGAGAACGACGAGCGCTGAGGGTGACACCACTTGCCGGTATACATCAGAGATGAGTGGCCATATTTGGAATGCAGTGCGCCCCACAATCGATAGATCTGTTGCCGATGTGACGAGGCTGAAAGACAACCGTGTGGATGAACTTGTCTCATTTTACGTCCACTTCAAGTGCGCATCAATTCGACAGCTTGGCCTATGGTTTGCACGGCAACATTCTGTCGGCTCCAATAAGTGGTCGAGACCTCAGTCATTGTTTGTCGTACAAGTCGCTTCGGCACGAGATGAACGTCAAAGCGGGTACAGCTACTAGCGAAGTGCTGAATCATTCTGAACCTGATCTTCAAACGTTCAAGCAGACTTGTCATTGTAGTTCCCAGGCCGAGCACAATCCCGTTTGGTGCAGCACTTACATCTAAGCATGATAGGTTTCCAAGCTCGACATCGAGACATTGTGCTCAAGTCAAGTCGGACGCAGCCACATCATTGCTTCGACATGTCTACGGCAAAGATGCTATGAGTATCTGCGACAGAAGCCACTGTGTCATCTCAACGCAAGACAATCCGTGGAAGAGCTGTATGAAAGAAAGCACATTCATCGCAAACAAGTGCTTCAGCGAAAGAGTATTCAGCATTCGACGACATGTCGTTGGACCCACAGCAAACTCGTGTATCATGATCACGCTCGTCACGAGTTCTTGTACATGCCTCTGACGTACTACGAGAATCAATGGCCTTGCGATCGCAACATGTCCGATATCACTGCAAGACTGTACTTCGAAACGAAGCCACACAATAGGACACGGAGCACAAAGCAAGTCAGCCATTTGCTATTCATGAACCGTTCGACATGAGCCACGCAGTAGCAACAAATAGATCGGAAACCGCACAGACGTAGATACAGATATTCATCTTCGATCCAAGTGCTTCATTTGACACACGCTCAGCAGCAGGGCATCCCGCCTACGTAGTCGTGACGATCCAAACGCTAGCGTTTCTCGCTCCCGCTCGCTCACTCGCTCTTTCACTTTCCTCTCTTTTTCTGTCTGTTAGAGGTCTTGCAGTCCAGCTTGCAGCGCTCCTTTTAGCATCGACAATGTCTCGACCTTGGCCGCTGCTTGCTGACTCTCTTCACTACACTTTTCCAACTGCGTCTTGGTAAACAGCTCGGGATTCGAGTCTTTCGTTGCGTCCATATTCCTAAACACAACAACAACAATTACAACAACAACAACCACAATGCTTAACACAATGACAACACAATGACAACACGACACCAGCAATCACCAAAAACAACAACGGCAATAACGTAACAATAAACGTGCAATCCAACGAGACATCACAACGCATCACGTACTGTAGCACTTGCAACGGAATGTCGGCATCGTACGCAGCTGCTGCTTGATCTGCTTGTTGCAGCAGCTCCACGTACCGCGTGGCTTTTTCACTAAGAAAGTTGAGCTGATCCGGTCGAAAATCCGCGACGCCGTCCGTGAGCTGGTCCAGTGTCGCGACAATGTCCACAAGTGTCTCGAGTACTCGTGGCGGCAAGTGCTTCACGACGTCGTCTTGGAGTAGCACTGGATGCACATATCCAGCGTGTCGACCGTCTTTTGGCATTGGCTGGAGCTGTGGCTTGACGTCTCGACTTGTCGTAGCAGTCGCCATCGCACCACTACTACTCTTCATATTCGTAGTAGTACTACTACTACCGTGACTCGTAGTAGTCATGTTACTACTCTTATTAGTACTACTCTTACTACTACTATTACTGCTACTACTATTTGTACCGCGCCCTTTACTAGCAATCGGCGTTTTGTTCTGAGGGGGCGAACCACTCGGCGTAAAAGGTGCGAGATACGGACTCGCTCCGACTTGTGCGCGTCGCTCGTGCGGCTCCGAGACAGCAGACGCCGGCGCGGCGGACGGCGTGGGCTGCAGTCCGGCGGCAGAGGTCGCCGCGTTTTGGCTGTCGGCACGATCCAGAGGTGGCAGGTCGGACAGAAACTGGTCGGGCTCGACGTCCGCGTCGTCGTCGTCGAGGCCCTTTGGTCGACACTCCATGGGTAGTAGTAGTAGTAGTCGTAGTAGTAGCAGTAAGGAGGCGAATAAGGGAGCGGTAGTTTCGAAATGACGACTTTGTCCTATTGGTGATAAGCGGAACTTTTAAAAGGACGATTTGGTCCAATTATTGGTAAAGAGCGACAAATGTAGTACTCGAGCACATGATGAGGGACATCGACACTACTACTTTTCCTGCCGCTACTACTACTACAGAACTGTTTTTTTCAACTACGAAGTCCAGCCCTCGCACGAGCTGTCTTGTTCGAGCGCATCTGCGAACTACTACTCTGGCACTGATCTCGTTTCGTTTCGTGCGGTGCGCACAATTCATTTTTTGGATCGTGCAGAGCTCAATCAATTAGGGCTCGTGGTAGCACATTCTCGACTCAGTAGGGACTGCGAGCCTTTTTACCGTTGATTTTTTTGACTGCCGAAGGGCATGAGGGTGTTAAATACGTTGGCCATCTCACACTTCTTCTTCCTCGCTGTCTTTCATCGCTTCCGTGTCTTCTGACCAGTCTACTGAAATGAGTGGTCTAAAAACACATTTCTATACTTGTGTCAACATGATGTATGTCAAGCTTGTAGACTATCATCCGCATCCAACACTGCATTCTCCTTCCTACTTCTTACCAGTATATCGAATGGATGACGCAAAAGCGGCTTATGACGATCTATCTGCTTGTACTGGAGCACGAGTATTCATGGAGGCGTATACTCAGTGCGTCGATAAGTCGATTGAATTGTGTAATGGCGACACGGTCTGTCTGTCTAGCTGTATCCATTCATTTGTGTCGCATTTGATTGATCCCGGTCTCGATACATTTCGCTAATTCAGAAACGCATTAGATGAACGACCGAGAAAGAAAAAGTTGCAATCTCGAACACTTCGCCACTTCAGCTTCCTAGTCCGCATACTCCAAAAGAATTAGTCCGCGCCAAATCGACCACATTGCCGATGAGATCCAGTCCACCAGGCAGAACGAGATACAAGGTAAGCACAAGCTCACGTAAGCACGTAGCCAGAAGATACGTATGATGTCAACCTACGACGAACAGCTAGTATTTGACATCGAAACACGCGTACTGTGGAAGTATAGGAGGCTATCTGCGTGGCTTGTGTGCCCGCTACATCCGCGAATTCGTAAGTACCAACGAAAAAGATCAATTTGCTGCCCACTACCGCTTTACATTTCGCACTCGGGTTCAAGCAAGTCGGACGGAGAACGACTCTATCAAGTGACTCATCCTAGTAATGGTAAATGCAGCAATTTATTGAAACTCAGACGAGTTGCAAGAGAGCTCTAATTGAGTCACTCGTGAATGTGGCAGTACAATATAAAGACACAAGCGAGACTCGACACCCTCTTCGGTCGCCGGACTGAGTCATGTGATACGTGCGTGTCTGATGGCCAGCCATTTGACCTCAATCCACCTGAAAGCTCGTGTTTGATTCTTCGATGCAAATCCGGCATCTCTCCTACTTTATTGACAGCTCGTGTTACTGTACGTGAGCATAAAACCTTGGCTAAACGACCGCTTCTCCGCTAATAAGTCTCCATGAACAAGGGATGTTTGGCTCACGAAAGACGATACCATGCCAAATGTTGGCGACTTGTGCCAGCAATGTGAGCGAACGTCAGCCAGTAGATGTCATTGAGCGAGACAGCTACGCCGTGTGAATGTGAATGTGTCCATCATATATTAAGAATTTCGAAAAGATGCGCGTCTTGGGTCTGTTTATCATGAAAAAAGTTGCAAAGCGTTGACTTCTGAATCTGTTGTTTCAGGAAAGCAGATGGTCGTAAGGACTTCCCTGTTCATCGGGCCTCAAGCAATCTCCGAGCGTGTGTCGACTAGCAAAAATCATATCAAGACAGCTGCTCATCTGACGGAACAAGTGCTGCATCAGCGCTAGTCAAAGTGGCACGTTACGGTGGGCAGATCTTTGCAAATGGGCGAGTAAATTGGCCTAGATCGAATCACGGAAGCTGAGAAGAACGATGAGGTTGTCGCGATGTTGCCACAACACAGTACTTTCATAAAGTGTGTGTTATCAGCCAAGTGCTCTGACACCAGTCACGAATCGACGTATTCATCACGACTCTGTCGATCGTCAGAGTAGTCAACACGCAAACGTCCAGTCGATTATCGTCGGCATGTGTGGAGTTTGTGGTGCTCAAGTAGCAATTTGCGTGAAGCTTTGGCCGAGCAAGCTTACTTTCGAACAGTGTGAAGCCGCTCGTACGTGTCCGCCTATAAGCTGCTCGGTCGATTCAACTTTGCCAACACCATGACGCAGGATATACGCGTATTCTGAAAATAGTGCGTCGTAGCGTCGGCCTTTTCGGATCAACTGGTTCTCTTCAGCTCGTATTGGGTCAAAGCTAAATTTGCATCAAAATGACTGCAAGAAGACGCAAGAAAGTGTCAGTCTGTCAATGAGTTCAATGTTGTTCTCGCTCATAACAAGGCGTACGTTTGATGCTTACAAGTCAACAACATTGGCGCAAGGATGAGAAAGGTTTGGTAGACCAACAAGCGAATCACTTTGTCGACACATTCTTTGCACACGCCGACAGATTGTTGGGCGACAGGAATGGAATGTGTGTGAGTCATTGTGCGATCCGGTGAAGGACGTGGTGCGATCGCTGAACAACAAAACCGGAACTTCATGGCAGCGACAGTGTAGTGTTTTCTTGGCTGATCTTCCTTCGTAGCATCGATCTCTGCTACTACGTCAGATTCTTCTTGATCTTAGCAGCTCTTTGTAGTCGAGGCTATCAATAGCAAGCCCGAGTATGTGGTAACTGGTCGAGATAAGCGACACAAAAGCACCACCTCAGCGATAGTCCTGTCTAACAAAGAGACATCTCCCGGTTGGCGTCAACTCAATACCTGAAGCTATGATTGCCCTAGTCTTTCTAGTGTCCATGGCGACACGACGTGTCTGTCCACTCCACACTGAATGCAGATTGCTGTACAAATATACGTGATGGAACACTAGAAACTCTTCGCCCACTACGAAATGCCCCCTGACTGTGCGAGAATCAACGGCACAAGCATTCATGGTCGATTAAATGATGGAATCTTGTATTTGGCAAAGCGCATTCTCGTAACGTCGCTTTTCTAACATGCGCGTGTTCTCCATTCGGCTTTGCGTTGGCCGGCATAGCGATATCATATGCAAAGTATCGACCTAGTAGACACATCTTTACGACGACAAGCAATCGGTATTGCACGTTCCATCATGCGGACGTCGTGATTGACGACGAGTCCTAGTTATCCAGTTGAGGCAGGAGCTTTAGCACAAAATTGACAAGCGTATACATATCAGTCAAGTTGGCTTGGCATATGCACATCGACTTTGATGATTTAACAACCTTCAATCCGTGGGCAGTCGACAGTTTCCTTGCTGCTCATGTGCATGAGTTCACACGCATTGTATGCTTGTTCGACATTGTCTCGTGATGATTTTTGGTCCACAAATGTCAGCACGAGCGTACCGGACGCCTTCGATACGTGAACCTCACATTTCCAAGCACTAAGCTGAATGCTTGTTGAAGTAGTTGTCTCTCAATCGCTATCACACGCTCCATTTCCTGACTTGATCATGGAGAATCCACATTTACTGTTGCCAGTTGTGTCAGACATCGATGCTCTTGCTTGAACCGGCGATACATGCTATTCACTGCTGTAACGTACAATTTTGAAGGTGAAAACAGCGTGTGCATCGCTGTGATTGAGCAACCTAAACATACATTGAGACGAAACAGTTTCGAGAAACGCTAGACCATTTCGTGCTTAATACGTCGTGCCATTTGACCTTGTTGGAGCACCTTGTCGACTCATACTCTTTTATCTCGTGCCGTACGATATGTGAAGTAGATCGATTACTTCGTCACATCTTGCGTTATTCTGGTGCGGCGCCACTCTGCATCCGAGGTAGCGTATTGTACTACTAAACGTGGCTGTGAAGGACAACGTGATGATCAATATGCTTTACCGATGACATCATGTCTTGTTATGACTTTATGTGCTCTACTTCTTGCGTGACGTCTTACAGCATAGCTTTTCTTGGCGGGAACGTTTTGATGGGTTTTACGCGTTTGCAAGCAGCAATGTCTGTAAATGGATGAGATCGCTTTTTCCTTTTAGAATTTGAAATCAGATAAAGCTGGCTGTAAGAGTGCGTAGCTCGATCAATTTGTTTTGCATTGCGTCTCGTGGTCGCGACGTCCAATGTGCGATGGTGCACGTACCGAATTTCCATCCTGATAGAGTCAGTCGGGGGCGTTTGTTCGTCAACATGGCAGCTTCCTTTTTGTTCACACTAAGTATTTCAATGCAGCGGCTTTCCTGAGACAATGTCCATCCGAGTGTGCTACGACTACTTTGCGTGCTGCATTGACTCTTGTCCACTGCAAAGTCCTATCGTACTATCACAAGAGTCGACTCACGCAAGTGTACACGATCTAGTTCTTTCTTCAGTTGACGAAACCTAAATGTCAATACCTGCCAGTGTATCTTCGAGCAACAATTTATCTAATTCACTGGTTACTTCCGATATGTCTTCGCTCACGGCGTTCTGGAGAAGGTCGTGAAACTCCTCGACGCGTGCATCACCTGTGCTTGATAGAATGAGCTTCATCGGGACTTGACGAACGCACATCATCACATTGGTCGTATCTTCGTCCGAACCCGGGATCAGACACACCCACCCTGTCTCGTCCGCGTGCATGCCGCGAAACACTTCTTCTCCTTCCGAGTGCGTTTTCCAGACAATGATCGTGCGGTTCTTCTCGACAAACCGACACCCTACCTGTCGCTGCAAAACGGACACGGTCGACCCGCACGTGAGCGTGTGCAGCAGACGAAATCGCACCACCAGTGTGTTCTCGGGATCCGCAATTTCGCCAAAGTCCTCTCGATCGTCCTGTCGATGGTGTAGTTTTGCGAGTTCCCACATGACCTGCCCCGTGCGATGGTAGCAAAACGGCTGCGTAAAGTTGCTCCGGTGCTCAAAGTACTCAATCTCGCCGTCCGGTTCACGTCGTTTGACCGAACTCACGATCCCTTCCGTCATGAAATCAAAGTCAAATATCTCATCGACACAAGCGTAGCTTTCGTGCACTCGCCTCAAGTGGCCTCGAAACATCATGTAGTCAAACTCCGGACTCGTTCGAGTATGCGGCACCCGCAAACAACTGCGTGCAGTCGCCACCGTCAGCGCTGCTGGACCAGCAAGAGCCGCCGCACTGCTGGAACTCCCTTTCGCACCAGCGCGCTTCGGCGCGTCCAGAACCAATTGTTGGCACATCGCTTCAATGCAATTGGCTTTCGCCTTTGCTTCGGCCAACAGCCGCTTCTGCTCGGCCTCTGCTTGGCGCAACTTCTCGCGCTCGTCGCGCGCCACGCGCCGTCCGAGCGCGAGGCCTAACGTGTCGGTCAACGACGCAGCGCTCGACTGTTTGCCCGCTTGCAGTTGGCTCAGCTGGCGCGAGAGGTCGTCGACCGTCTGCCGCAGTCGATTGCGCTCGTCTTTGACCTTTTGGTGGTACACGCGCTTGCGGATCGCCTCCTTTTCGCGGCGGCTCTTGGGGGCGTCAGTGGTCGACACGTCGCAGGCGGTGTCCATTGCGTCGTCCTCGTCGTCGCACTTGCGCCGCACGTGGTACTGGCTGTCCGCCGCCGCCACGTCGAACGTCATGGAGGGGAGACAGGCCGTCAGCACAGAGGCCGCAAAGTCGTTCGACACGACGAGCGCGTCGTGCGGCGCCGGGGCCGAAGCGGTCGGCGACGGCGCCGCCGCTGCTGCAATCTCCGGGTCGGCGCACATGACGCCCTTGAGGACGACGACGGCCGCGCCCGAGTGCATGCGACTGGCGCGGGCAGAGATAATCGTCAGTGCGGTGGGGTATGGCACACGTACGCGCGCGCAAGAGAGCGAGCGAGAGCGAGAGAGGGAGAGGGGGAGGGGGAGGGAGCGAGAGAGACTGTCACTTGTCCCGACTGCTGCGCGCGGTGGAGGAGAGCGCCGACCAGCGACGTCCACAGAGCGCGTACAAATCGCGACTGACTGATGGACAGCCGATGGTCGGGACGAGGGCGCGCGCGGTTTATGCACAACCCCACGTCCCCGCGACGTGTCTCGTCTGGCGCCGTCGACGTTTCTTCAAGTGTTCATTGCGCGGCCCGTCTGCTGCGCGTGAGCGATTACGCACAGCGAGTGAAGCGCGTGCATTGTGTGGACGCCGAGGCGCGTGTTGTCCTGGTTCAGGACGCCTCGGGCTCGTCTGCTGTGGTCCGTGGACGCGCGGCTCGAGCGAATAGCGCACTGTATTCGTCGAGCGACGACGCCCCTTTTTTTGTTGACGATAAAGCGAGCGCGGTGAGACAAAGCATGTACTGATACAAGAGACCGGCTGGGCAACTGGCTGGTTGGCGCGACACGCGCGACGCGTGTGTTGTGTACAGTGCGATCACTCGCGCGACTGCCTGTTGATCGTGTCAATGACTGCCTCCCGGTCATCATTGCTATCGTTGCACGAGTTGAACGACTCAGCGTACGAGTACGCGACTCTAGTCGCAAAAGGTGCACTCGGTCGGCACGTGTGGCTCGTAACGGTGGCCTCTCATCATCACCGATGCATACTCATGTGCTGTTAGCTGGAAGGGTAAACAGCTGGGATCGCGGCGCGTGCACGCACGCGTTTGTAAACACGACTTGACCACGTTCGAAGCTCACCTCTATGTCACCTGCGGCACCAAAAGCGACTGGTTTGCCAATGGGTTCCAACGATTTGAACTCGAACGGGGACGGGATGTCGGATAGAGAGAAGTAAAACATGCATCAGTGTGGGATATACGCACTGCGAAAAGGGATCCATGTTCATGAGAGACTTGGGATCAGCGGCGACTCCTGGCCCTGAACGCGATCGATAAGTAACGTGGGCTTTTCCCGGTGGAGGGGCTCGGTGATCTAGTGGCACGCGTCTGCACAAAGATGGTACCCATCTATCCGGTGGCAGTACAGAATCAATCCACAAAGAGATATTGCTGATGCAGGAGCGTCGACGCATCCCCAAGCTCGCGTGCGTTTGGCAGGACTGACTTTTTCTCGGTTGTGATGAAGTCGGGGCGAATGTGGGACAGAGCGTGACTGCCAACGCTACTGCGCGTCTGCGTTGCTTTGCAGCCCCCCCATGAATTTTCGGTGGAACATCGGTGTAGAAACAGACTAGATCAGAGAAAGGAGTGTCCGGTTAATGATGTGCAGCGCAGATGGAGCGCCTACGTCGACATGCTGGATTTCCAAGCCCACTACTTTGCGACACCGCACATTTGCGAGGGTACCGATGTCAGTTTAATAGGGAAATCATTTGAGGACGCGACGTGAGCTTTAATGTCTTGTCAGCGCAGCTCTTTGACAGGCGCGAACACAAAATACACAGCTTCTGTTGCTCCTTCCGTCGAAATAGGAGACAAGGATGCAGCTCGAACGTGCTCCTACCACAGACTGATCGGAGCTGATTGGGGATCACGTGCTCGGACTGACCGTGTCGTATTGGATAATATTCGCTACCAGCTGGTGCCACGTACAGTTAGCACCATACATTATTAGGTTTGACAAGAATTAATTATAACCATGATTTTATCCTGTAGGCGTGTTCGGTACGCGACGATTGTGCTAAATCAGATCGATGGCTTATTGACCACCACTTTGGTAATCGTACGATCTAACATCGAACCATATGTGGGATTACCAGTGTGCATGTTTAAGCATACTTCATTCTGATTCTGCAGGATAGCGAACCTACCTGCATGGATTAATTGACGAATCTGATGCTAAACTTGTATGTGATTCATTTTACGTGCTAAGCACAAGCCATAACAAGGCAGACGACAGCACTCTGTGCATAACCATTTTGACGAGAGTTATTCATAAGTCAAAAGTTAGTGTGAAGGCACGTTCTCGCCTGCAGTGATGATTGCATAGACACGCGATCCAGAGCAACTCGTAAGCTATTTCGTGCAAGGAACCGCAAAATGGGGCGCTAGGCCATATTGCCTATGTGCCTTTAGCTCAAATTTAAGCTTCTATCAAGCGTATTCATTCAGGAAATTTAACTTGCCATGCACGTACATAGTACGTGGGACTTCGACGCACCTGCCTACACTGTGTCAGAGTGGGTAGCTTGCAGTGTATGAGTACAAGCGGAGAGCATCCCGTTTCACCAGGTCGTACCCGTCGAACGACCACGGACATTACAACAAACATGGACGCCACGCGTGAAGACGTCGCCAATATGAAGGATATCGCATTGATTGCAGTCGGGCACATGAATTTAATTTACAGCGGACAGGCCATCAACTCCACGATTTTTATTAGAAGGAGACGAGCAACACGCCGCAAATTCCAAGCTCATTCAGCACAAACTCGACACCGATAGGGAGGAAGCATAGTCCCGTCAAGACCCATTTATTCCGCCTAGAGTAGATTCTTTATTACGAGCGTTCTCCGTGGCGATACAGAAAGCTAGCATCTGAGAAAATCAGAAATTTATATTCAACACGTAGCGTTCGCGAGTGATCAAACGTTAATTCCACGCTTTGAGCCAAATTTGAGAATTGATCTTGTCGCGTATCTGTCACTTTTGAATCAACACGATGCCTGAAACGTCTTGTTGCTCTACAAAGGTGCAGCACGCGACATACTTTGTAACGGGATAGCCCGTTACATGAAATTGTCATCAAGAAGAAAATGGCAATAAAGAAGATTACGTTGAATATCCTTTGAACAATATCACGAAGCACAGTGATATTGTTGGAATGACCGAAGGGTCTATTCATTGGTTGATATTGCGACTATATTGACCCATTGATCGCTGCTAGACGCGCGCAATGGGTGGTGAGTAGACGTCATCATACATTTGGTTACATTAATTTAATTAAGTCAGGACAAACAGAGAGCAAGAGATGTTGTACTTAATTATATTAAATAAAAGTTTTACTTTTACCACGACTACAGTCCTTAACTTAGTCGATTACCTTCCTCTATATAGTGTTAAATAGGTAGAAGGGCACTGAACTTCACTGTTGTCAGTATAAGTTAACTCCATACTGCTAAACCAGTACGTAGTTGTCGGTGCCTCGTTACTTACTTCGTCTCATTAAACTTGCAGATTTGAAAATGAGTGCGCGAAGCATGAATGACAGAATAGGTGTAAACATGAGTGAGTAATGTATTCCTTATAGATTAATGCTACGGTCAGTCGCGAGTTGCCTGTGTCCCACAGGTTTTTATTGGAACGCATATACCGACATGCTTTCAATTTAAATTACCGGGAAGGAAGAAATCTTCCACCCCGCCCGTCATTTAAGCAAGACGCTTTCAGCAGAGTGCTAGTAAGCTTTTCAATAAATCGTTTGCAATTCAAAGTCGATTACACTTATACAAAATCTGGTGGTTCATAGAATTTCAGTAATGTATTTTGATCTGTCATTGACGCCCAGAAGACTGCTTAACGAAGGCATTGTCAACTTTTTTTAAATAAAGATTGTGTCCACCTTGTGTCCACCTTGTATCCACATGACTAGACCGTTTCCTTTGATGGCTCAGGTCGATGCTGAACGTGGTGGCGTTATGATTACATCTAGTAACCATTGATTAGATATGTATGCACAATCAGGGTCGAAATTTGGGCACTTCATACGACGTACCTTGATTTATCTTCAAATTGCCATTGTACAACAATGCAAAAGATACTTAGACCAATCGATTCCTGACCACTAGATCCGCGTAAAAGTAATGCAGTAGATGCATAGCCCAATTTGTTCGTGACTACTAGATTCGACTAAAATATGTCTCTTGATCTGAAAGCAGTGTGCGAAGAAAAGACTAAATGCGATTGCGTCAGGTCTAATAACCAGGAGAGAATATTTGGGCTCGTATGTCGATACTCTCACAATAATTCGAGAGGCCGACGACATTTTGCCCGTAGGAATGTCGACATACTGTATGTATTATGCGCTACATAAAAACTATTTTTGATGTCAATTATATTCCAATCCAACTTACGGCTAGGTTTGTATCCTATCAATACAAATAAGCAGCCAAGTCATTCATGCCACCCTCATGATATACGTTGTCCACATCTAACACGAATTTTTTTGGGGTGAGTTACAAAATACTGAACGTAATAAATGTATTTACGGACCAGGTGGGTTGATTCTGATATCTATGTGCTCTTCAAACCATCTACTAAGTCTATGAAGTGCGAAATATTTACCGATTGGCTCTTCACACCAAAAAGACCAGGTTTGGCTATTTCCGGTCTTCTTCAATCTCGTACAAAGACCGCAATGCCAGTGTTTGCTCACAATTTTTGAGTTTTTCCCCATGATGCAGGCAATTTGACTTAATTGATTGATTTGCATCCATATTGTAGATTCCTTGTATCATGCACAATATATCATTTCCACTCGAAGTCCTAGATCACGGTCTGAAAATTAAATCGTGGGTCGCGCTTTGTAAATCGTAAAAAAGGTTATTTTTATTTACATCCTTGCTTGTACGTCGATCGATATTGAATGATCTGACATTTCCATGTCTTTTCATTCTTTTGGATGACCTGACATTTCCGTATCTTTTCATATACCCTATGATCAACTTTTGGCCAACGCCATTTGTCCGAAATATCGTATATCAATTTTAATCGCTTCAGTAAAAATTGAGAGAGCTATTCTTCTTCTTTCATTGATCTTAATCGCTTCCTTGAAGCGTCGATACATACATATGGCGCACAATTCCGTGATGATTGCCTATTTTTTAGCCTTTTTAGTTTTCTCTACAATATGATGACAACTAATCTATCT